CTAGGCGCCAAACAACATCCCATGTATATAAGTTACATCACGGCGCGTCAGCTCGGAGATGAAAGTTATGCATGTCCATTATGTTTAACCCACGAGCACGGGTATGGTGCTGACAATCCGGGAAACATAACCTCTACGAACACAGATTCGAACCCCAATCATAGGTTTCTAGCACGCCAAAGGGACAGAACTCTGCACATTTCCTTGAGCTGCTCTTATGTATGTGGAATATGATGGGAATGTAGATGGAAAGTGGACCTTTCCGACTTTCGAGTTTCTGTGAATAAACAAAATGAGACATGGGACTTTTATTCGGTACTTGGAGGCCGACCGCTAGTGGTACAATGGGCATACAATTCCTCTTGGCACGCTGACATGTTACACGATTTAGACAAAGTGCCTACAGGTCTAATTAGCTGGAGCTATAATCACCAACGTATGGTATTATGTCATGGGTTGAGTCGACACAAATGTTGCATGTCCCAGGTGTAATAGATGTGTAGACATTCTTTGAACATGGATAACATTACCATTGTTCAAAATCAATTTTGGGTATTCCCTTCCTTAATATACTGTGATCTAAGGTCAGTATACCATGGACAGGTGCAAATATATGGGGCTCTTCTTCTATGAAACATAAACATTCCTGCAAACAATATGCACAATGTTTCCGGTGGAATGGGATGCCTTTAAATCTACCAATTTCTGTCATTAATTATTAATAATTGCCACAAAATTTGCAAAATACATTTTTAGTTCACTTTGGTACCACAATTCAGGTAACTTTCAACATCTAAAATATTTTTAAAATGACAATAAAATATTATACCAGAAGGCTAATTTTGTAGTGCTATGTCACTTAACAGTTGTGTAAAAAGAAACAAACAAAATATGTATTTTGAGGCCAGTTTCTCTTTGCTCGTGGACAAAAGCATGTGTCATCTTTCTCATCTTCCTGTAACTGCTAACAAACACATAGCTCAAATCGCATCTATTTTTTGTGAATATTTAGAGCGTGCACATGTGTACTTTGGCTTAAGATGGACCACGTTTTTCCTTAGATCCGTTCATCTAAAAACCTATCAAGCAATTATAAATAAGATTTCACTTTTGCAATGTCTGTGTTGTTTTTTCACACATACAACAGTTTGAAAACTTAAGGAAAAAAATAGGTTAGGTATTAAGTTCTATTTCTACCCTGATACACATTAAAACGACATAACGCGGCACTAGTCTGTCTTAACAAGTTTGTTGTGTACACAGTTAAATAGAATATTGATCCTTCTGTAAAGCCATGTAGTCTATATCATCTCATTAAAATCAGATCTTATACTCCGATAGATGCGTCTCTGCCTCAAGATCTCAGAACACATGTATAGAACTTTGACCACATAATGTAAATGAAACCTGCTTGGATTCCTGAGCCAATCGGCTGTCAGCTTTCTCAAACGATTTCACTTCTTTTTTTACCATCTTGATTCGGAAATTTCGATTTGTACAAATGAAAATCCACACAGAACACAAATATTCCTTTGATAGTACTCCGTTAGGGCGCAGATGCCACGGAGCTCAGAGACAACAGGATATATGAAGTACCCATGACAATATAATGGCGCCGCTATACTTTCTACCTTTGAGATACAGCAATGGAATGGTTTGAATGCTTCGCTCAGTGGAACGAAGAATTTAGAAGGCTCCACCTGATTGGCTGATTAAAAAGTTCATCTGATGCGACCTACAGAGGTGTCCTCAGATCTTCATGCAGATGGGTGTTGTAAGCAAAAGATCTAATTTTAACGAGATTGAAAGATATTGATTTGATCATAGTCACTATTGTGTTTTGGGGCACGGTTGGCCCAGTCGTCCAAGGCGCCAGTATGCGCAAAGCAGAGTTGCGTCCCTTAGGTGTATCAGGAACCTATGGTTGTGCTTTCGACTCATTGACTCACTTATTAACTAACCCATTGACCTGCCCATTGACTTGCCCATTGACTCATTATTAACTCACATACTGACTCCCCATTGGCTCACTTATTAACTCACCCTTTGACTTACCCATTGACTTATTATTAACTCAATCTTTGACTCACCCATTGACTCACTTATTAACTCACTCTTTCACTCACCCATTGACTCACTTATTAACTCACCCATTGACTTACCTATTGACTCATTAACTGATTCTTTGACTCACCCATTGACTCACTTATTAACTCACCCTTTGACTCACTCATTGACTCACTTATCAACTCACGCTTTGAGTCATCATTTGACTCACTTATTACCTCACTCTTTGACTCACTCATTGACTCACGTATTAACTCACCCATTGACTCATTATTAACTCACTCTTTGACTCACCCATTGACTCACTTATTAACGCAGCCGTTGACTTACCCATTGACTCATTATTAACTCACTCTTTGACTCACACATTGACTCGCTTATTAACTCACTCTTTGACTCGCTCATTGACTCATTTATTAACTCACCCATTGACGTACCCATTCACTCACCCATTCACTAAATATTTGACTCACCCATAGACTTATCCAGTTACTTTCCCATTAACTCACGAAGTGACTCACTCATTAACTCACTCACTGACACACTCACATATTGACTCACTCACTCACTTTGTACAAATAACGTTATATTACCGCAGATATTTCCCATGTTAAGCCAAAAAGCTCCAAGGCAAGACTATGACCACACCGGCAATCGTGCGTTTCGTGGTTATATAAACATCCCATCTTCACCTGTCAACTTCTCCATTTACACCACGAATGTGTAAATATGTCGTGCCACGAGCGTTTACTTAAACAAACCCATCTTCATCAGTTAGTCAATGAAACCCCTCAACGTATGCTTTGCATCTTATGTATAAAATCTTTGCATCTTAACGTTTAATAATAATCTAAGTCCATGGTTAGTTACAATTGTTTATCATTAAACCAGTTTACCATTCATCCACGGTTTGTGATAATTCGATATCACATGGCATCATTTAGGATGACCTCATCACTTCATGTGCAAGTAATATATTCCTTGATTAACAGCACCCTCTAATACCGAGACTCTGGTTGGAAATGTTGGCTCTAATGGCTTCCTTTCATGACGAGAATAATTTCTCAACTTGAAAGTGTTTCTATTAAACAACAAAAGTTTCTTCAAGCTATGGCCCTGGGCTGTCAGACAAAACCGTCTGTAACTTCTGGGCCAGTAACTATCAGATGAAGACTTCTGTCAGCTGTGGACCACTGGCTATCATATGAAGACTTCTGTCAGCGGTGGACCACTGGCTATCATATGAAGACTTCTGACATTTGTGGACCAGTGGCTATCAGATAAACGCTTCGGTCAGCTGTTGACCAGTGGCTATCAGATGAAGACTTCTGTCAGCATTGGTCAAGATGTATCATACACTTCTGAGTGTATGAGGGAGTGAGTATCGTTGCTTTTAGCAATATATTACGTCAAGGGACACCAGAAATGGGCTTTTCTTATGTCAGCCATGGGTAAGGGACTATGAAACGAACACTTCTTTTTAAACATGGTCTGAAGTGCTATCAGACGAACACTTCCTTCAAACATGGTCTAAGTACTATTAGATGAACACGTCTTTAAAACATTGAATAAGTGCTATCACACGGACACTTCCTTCAAACATGGTCTAAGTACTATCAGATGAACACGTCTTTAAAACATGGAATAAGTGCTATCAGACGCACACTTCTTTCAAACATGGTTTAAGTGCTGTCAGACGAACACTTCTTTCAAACATGGTCCAGAAATGGGCTTTTCACTTGTACTTGTGAGGAAGCGAACCCGGGTCATGGGCGCGATGAGCGAACGTTTTAACAACAAGGCTACCCCACTGCTCCTTATACGCCCCTCCAGCTATGGACAAGATCATATGGGGGTCATCACACAATATTCACGTCAGCCGCGGCTCAGCGCTAACATATCTCCAGTCGAACGCTTCTGCCAGATAAAGTCAAGATGCAGTGAGACAAGAGGATACCATACGGAAGCTTCTGTCAATTGTGGACAAGGGACAATAAGACAATCAGCTATGGTCAACGGGATATCAAACGGACACTTATGTCAGCCATGGGTAAGGGACTATGAAACGAACACTTCTTTTTAAACATGGTCTGAAGTGCTATCAGACGAACACTTCCTTCAAACATGGTCTAAGTATTATTAGATGAACACGTCTTTAAAACATGGAATAAGTGCTATCACACGGACACTTCTTTCAAATATGGCCTAAGTGCTGTCAGACGAACACTTCTTTCAAACATGGTTTAAGTGCTATCAGACGCACACTTCTTTCAAACATGGTCTACGTGCTATCACACAAAACTTCTTTCAAACATGGTCTAAGTGCTGTCAGACGAACACTTCTTTCAAACATGGTCTAAGCGTACTTCTTTCAAATATGGCCTAAGTACACTCCTTCAAACATGGTCTAAGTACAATCAGGCGATCGCTTTTGTCAGCTATGGACAAGGTGCTATAAGACGAATGATTATGTCAACTGTGTACAAAGTGCTATCAGACGATCGCTACTGTCAGCTATGGACTTGAGGCTATAATACGAACACTTCTTTCAAACATAGTCTAAGCCCTATCAGATGGACGCGCCTGTCCGCGCGGTCAAGGTGCTAACATATCTCTAAACGAATTATTTGGCAGTCATGGCCTAGCGCTATCAAACAAATACTTTATCACCCATGGTATCTGCGCTATCAGACGAACATTTCCTTAATCTGTGGTGAATGTTCTATCAATCAAACATATCTGCCAGTCATGATCGCGGTTTCATCATAGGAATATTTCTGTCAGCCATTAGTCTGACAAGAAGACAGCAGTGCGCAAAATAAAAAAAACCTTTTTCTGATCCCAACTATTTTTAACTATGATTCCCATGTGACCTCCTGAGCATTTATATTTCATCTGTCCTGTATCCAAAATTTGACTGTTTGAGAAACCGCATGCCGATATCCGACCACGTTTGTGTGAGATTGGAAGCTATTCTCGCCCCCTGGCCCGACATCACAGATCCAGCTGCCGATCAGTCTAAATGTAGGTGCACTGCCCTCCCAATCACAGCCCCAGCAGATGGCTGGGCAATAAAACAATGTTGCTACACCTGGTATCACAGTTCCTGCTGATGACTGACATATCACACATCTACTGTTAGTGGCGGTGGTCTTGGCGGCGGATGTAGCGTTGGCGCGTTACCCCAAATACCTGGTTCGATTCCCGACTTGGAGCACAATGTGTGTAAACGACGTCAGTGTCCCCTGCTGTTATATTGCTGAAATATTACTGAAAACAGCGCTCACTCACTCACTCTGGTTTAGGTGTGAGGTGAAATGGGGTTTAACGTCGCGTCCAAGATTATTGCACTTATATAGCGACGTGCATGCACGTGTGTGTGTGTGTGTGTGTGTGTGTGTGTGTGTGTGGCTTCTTGTACTAGTCCGGACTGATGCCGATTTATAGTTCTAGCTCACTGAGATACCATGCCGCAGCATAACATGAATACCCCACTCAGACACAGTATACTGACTCCGAGCCCCTTAATGCCGAGCGCCAGACAGGGTAACAACAAGAACCATCTTTTAACGTCTTTTGGTATGACGCGGTAGGGGATCGAACCCCGGACCTTCCGCTTTCCGGGCGGACGCTCTACCACTAGACAACGGAGGCGGTCCACTCTGGTTTAGGATACTGGTTAAGGATAGTTAACGGAACACGTATAATAAGCCCATATTTATGACATTGAAGAAGACAGGTAAACAGACAGCAGTAAACACTGTTCCAATACCAGCAGTTACATCCATACACAACACTGCTGTGTACCTCTTTGTCCTTGCCGAGGCACGGGTGCCCAAATCGTTTGAGGAGCGTTGTGGACTTGCGTCCCCTGAGTACGCCAGAATACTATGCGTGTGTGTTCGAATCCTGATAAAGTTTCTGGGTTTGTCATCACCATACCGTGCTCGTTGGTTTCCCCGAAGTGGTAAACGTGTATGACCTGCATCATTTCTGACTTCCCTCCCGGATTAAGCTGAAGCTACGTGATATAACTAGAATATTGTTCAAAGCGGTGTTAAATCCCACTCACTCACTCACTCACTCCTTGCTGGGGCGATGGGGAATCACAGTGGTTAATGCGCTCGCGCGCACGTCAAAATGTGTAGCCATTTCCTCGTCCCCCAGCATAATAATGCTAAAAAAATGCAACAGTACCACTGTATTTGTTGATACCGGCCATGTGGCCGCCAACTGCTACTATAATATGCAAAACACTCCAACTAAACGCCCTCAGTTGACGTAACACTCCAAGTCAACCGTTAAGCAGAATTCATCAGACATTGCCAAGGAGGGAAGTGTTTCCGAATTCCAAGACAGAAAAAATCCTGATGGTTCCGTTTGAGTGGCATACTTGGCCTCTTCTGTTTCTGAATGAAACATACACTGAACAAAAAAGTTAGGGATCATGAATATTCTTGGGGATATTTTTCATGAAATATGAGTGCGGAGTCGCTACAAAAACTATCCCTCAAAACATTCTGTTCAGTATAAGTATGGTTGGTGTTATCTTGAATAACTTCAATGAATACAAATATGGGCTTTGATTCCCTCAAGCGGTAATAGGTGGTCTGGGTGATAGGTGGTCGAGTTATAGGTGGTCTGGGTGATAGGTGGTCGAGTAAAAGGTGGTCTGAGTGATAGGTGGTCGAGTAATAGGTGGTCTGGGTGATAGGTGGTCGAGTAATAGGTGGTCTGAGTAATAGGTGGCCGAGTTATAGTTGGTCCGGAAATGAAAGTATGTGGGTGGGAACCGTATGTGCAAACACTTTTTCAGTAAAATTTACACGTTTTCCTACTGCTTGTCTTGTATATGTTATATATTTATGCTTCATGTGTCTTTGTGTGTATACTTTTTCTGTATTTTAAGCTTACCATTTTTGTGAACTTCCGCAGTCACCTGTTTTTTGAAGATATTTTTTGTTTGTCAATTATATTAATGTCAACTGGACATAAGTTGAGGTTTGGTGAAATTGGATTTAACCTCGCGTCCAAGATTATTGCACTTATATAGCGACGTGCATGCACGTGTGTGTGTGTGTGTGTGGCTGCTTGTACTTGTCCGGACTAATGCCGATTTTATAGTGCTAACCTACTGAGATACCAGTTCGCAGTATCTATTTTAATGTCAAATGGATATGACTGGAAATACGATACAATGTGTATGAGTGAGTTGGGTTTGCGCCGCTTTGAACATATACATCACGGCGTATCAGCTTGATGTGGGAGAAGGTTTAATGAGGTTTGACATCGCCTTCAAGATTGTTGCGCTTTTATAGCGACGTGCATGAACGTGCATACACTGTCAACTTCTTGAAGCCCGATGGCTCGAAGAGATACCGGTCTCAGACGTAAACCAACGAACCCAGTTGTGTATGGTGCTGACAAACCATGAAACATAGTCAGGGCGAATTGGGATTCGAACCAAAGATCATAGATCATAACTGAAACCCACGAGCACGGATATGGTGCTGACAAACCATGAAACATAGTCAGGGCGAACCGGGATTCGAACCAAAGGTTCCTAGATCATAACTGAAACCCACGAGCACGGATATGGTGCTGGCAAACCATGAAACATAATCAGGACGAATCGGGATTCGAACCAAAGGTCATAGATCATAGCTGAAACCCACGAGCACGGATATGGTGCTGGCAAGCCTAAAATCATAATCAGGGCGAACCGGGCTTCGAACCCAGGTTTCTTGCACGCACAAGGGAGACAACTCGTAGTGCATATCGGCGTCATAAACGACTGCGTGACCCTCTTTTGATTTAAAAGGACATTTTATTGACATCTTGATTCCGCGATTCACGTGCAGGTGCGCCTTAATTTCAACAGACGATATGATTACACTAACCACGTGCAAGTGCTATCATAGCTCAAGCAGACGACAATGCTAGACTCACATCCACCCTCATTACAGAAGTCCGGCAGACGACAAGGCTATGTCACACAATTACAAGACTTTAATAGATGGACGAGATATTTCCCGCCATTACCCTGGTTTACGACGTCGACAACGACTTCACCTCCATTCCCCCGCTCCAACATCAACTACAAGATATCACCACATCTCCGGCTCCCAACTGTCGAGGGACATCACCACCAGACAACACGTTCAATCAATCTGTATTAATTACGCGGACGTGATTTTCCCGAGAATTGTGGATTACTACCCTGTTTGGTGAAATAGCGTCATTTTTTTCCCAAGGTTCAAGCTTAACGCGTGGCCCAAGACCCTTCTTCTCTCTCCGGCTCTCGACGATTTGTTAATTGGTGCGAGGAACTGTTCGTTTAGCCTGCGATGTCTGATAGAAACTGCTGGATTTAGAACTAATTGTAGCAAGCATTTAAACTGTATCAATACTTGGGTCCATTAACAGCTGCCGACAACAGCCATTGTGTTGGTGTAAATTGAAGCAGTGTTTGCTATATCTCCTGGCACCAATCTGATAGTGCTTTGCCTGTGAGTAAAATACTGCGGTATTAACACTCGAGGAAGACAGGTCTAAACATCTCCCTACGGCACGGGCTATTTGTTAATGTCAGCTGTTGAAAAGATTTACCAGTATTTGATTGAACAGGGGTCTTTTCGGGGCTGGTGAGGGGAGGCTAACGCGATGTAATGGGGCCAATTGAACCGTAATGTGATTTCTGTGTAATATAAGTAATAGAAGGGAATAGACTTCGGTCTCTACGATGTAGTCATGGCAAATAGATCCTGCTTAGGCTCAACGATTTCAAAGATTAATATCTTATGCCATTTCCTTACTGGGCTAGACGGTAATGGGGCTTTTGTATGGGATTGCTGATGTTCCAAACTGTTTACAGAAAACTGTCATAAATATGAAAAATGGAATCACGTATAAGAGACACTTATTGAAGTCTCAGACATGATGGGCTATTGGTAAGACAGCAATTTGTGGTACGATCGTATGTAAATGGCTTTAACGGATATTCTTTATTCCCAATCAGATATCTTGGACAATACCCTGAATACAACAATGAATTGAAAAAAATGTGTTTTGTTCGAGTAAGTCACTTAAAAATGAATTATTAGGATGTTCTAGAATTCATCCACAACACATCCCCGATCTACGGTACATTTTGTTTATCTGAGAATGTTCGAACGTCTGAGCTGGGCTTGATATATACTGACAGAAATAAATAAAGGGACGCTTAACCTTTGTCGAAATAGTCTTTCATATTGCGTGTTGATGGTCAGTAATTATATGTTTCAAAGGTATTTGAGTACTCAAGGGTTTTAATCAGGGTGCATAAGGATTTTCATTTCAAACATTATTCACTTAATTGTACCTATCGAGCCTTCATTCCAAGCGCTGCTCAAACATTCAAAGAGATTTACATGACTCATGTTTCCACACATAAGTCCTAAATGATAGTTGTTAGTTACACTGGTGTGCAGAAGGGAATACCTTTGTAATGTATTTGTGTCACGTGTTACTTGAAGTCTTCCAGCCTTGGGTATCTCTTGATTGTTACCTTTAATGTTCCCTCATATCTTTTCATATGTCAGTCTTTGTAAATGGCAATTAACTCGTTATCTCCAAATGTTTCTAGCGACCTTTAAAATAACGTATCGGAAACTGCATTTTCGTATATTAGCATCTTATATCCTCTGATAGGTATTGAATTTGAAGATCAGAGGAGACTAATCTTTAATTTCATCTTATTTTGAACCATTTTGAACTTGAAAGATCAAATGAGACTAATCTTTAATTTCATCTTATTTTGAACCATTTTGAACTTGAAAGATTAAATTTCTGTCTGAAAGTTTTAGATATAGCGTGGTCCCATGGCGAGTGATTTGATATTGATTTAAGCATCAATCAGCAGTATTGTAGCTGTATCATCGCAGCGTGTAAATATTCGAACCTCAAGCAAACCAACTAGTGGTTGATAGCTCGAGCACTGATGCTCGCCGCCGTGCCAGATGTTAATGTCTCCACCCTCATTGTGA